TCTCGGATCTATAATATCTAAAGAAGTCACTACCAAAAGAGACATCGAAAAGAGAACGCAGCAGGGAAAAAAAGCGGTTAACATTCTAAACTCTCTACTATGGTCTAAAGATATTCGAAATCAAATTGACAATCTATCGAACCTTGGTAGAGCGTATTAAGACTTAAGGGTATATTCCAGTGTAGACAGAATTGAAACGAGACAACTAGTGTGGTATGGTCACGTGAAGCGAATGAATGAAGATAGATGGCCAAGGAAAGCTTTAAATTACATACCACAACAAAGAAGAAGAAGGGGAAGACCTTCAGTTGCCTGAAAAGAAAATGTACGACACATAATGAGAGATAAAGCCATCAAAGAAGACGAATGGATGGACAGAAAACGATGGCGGTCGAAATGAGAGAGGCGGCAGAGGCTGTAGGAACCTCGCTTATATATATATAATATATATATATATATATATATATATATATATATATATATATATATATATATATAATATATATATATTCATATGTATGTACAGTATTATTGTTGTCTGATATAACGAGATCGGCTTATAACGAGGTAATTAGTCTGCTATTTCAGTTCTCGTTATAGAAGGAGTCTACTGTACTATGTATTTTTTTTACTTGCTACAAACAATATTTGTGTTTGTTTTTGTTATGTAGTTAAATAAATAAACTTAAACTCTTGCCTCATTAGAAATACAGAGTCGGTGCATGATCTTCCCGATCTAAGAACCTTGTTGTTCTTCTGCTAGTGTCATAATTTCATTCAGTAGACTCGGGTAATGCAAATATCAATTTGAAATGCGTGGAATGATTTATTCTGGGACTAGAAAACTAATTTTGTTGTTTGATCGATACCGTTTATCGGTAGTCTTATAATGCTATCCTGTGAATAAATTGAATTGGTTTGTTAGCTACAAAACGTAAATATAAATTATATACATTCGTTGCAATGAAAATAACAAGCCGAACAGGACTTATACCGAGTCCAACAAAAAAAATTAGAAGGTATCGAGAGGTAAGTATTAGAATGTAAGAGTAAGAAACACATAGCAATCCAGTAGAATAGAAAAAATCTCATTATTATTCGTAACAGTTTGCTATATTAAAAATTAGATCGATTATAAATGAAATAAACAGAAAGTTTTTACCTATTTTTAATGTTTACTTATTCTTCTTCTTCAATTTAGGTTTTAGACATTAATATTGTTCTGAAGCTATTTTCTTGTGACATTTTAAAGTAATTACTATTTTAATGGGAATATGGAAATGTGTTCTCAACATTTAAACATCAATAAATTAAACACTTTTTGTTACTAGGTGAAAAATTCTTGTAATAATTTAATTGTATCTGACTCTTTTATATTGACAATTCAGACATGTATTATTCATTTTAAAGTAGATTTTTAAAGTTTTAAAATGATATTACCAATATTGCGTTTCTGGGAAGACTTTATTTTAAGATCGTTTATTCGATTAGGGGAGACTGAGGCTCCTTTAGACATAACAATTTGAACAGTCATATCACTGTAAATACCTCACCAAATAAAGAAAGAAAATATTCATAAAATACATTGTTCACCCAGCTTTCACTGTATGTATGCTTTTAATATTAAACCCTATACTTGTTGTAAAAAAATCAAAACCACTTTTCCAAAAACGTCTGAAGATGCCCCACTTGGGGGCACCTTCAAACGGGGAATGGGGAAGCTTCAGACACAATTGGAAAAATGACATCCTCATAAATGTTTTATAAATTATTTATTACAATATTTAAAACTATAGTATGATATTTAATCAAACCCCTAATACATATGGAAGTTTTACAATGAAACTGAAAAAGACAATCATGATTTCTGTCGCTTTGTACCCTGCTCAAAAGGAGTTGGCAAGAGGGCTACAATTTTTGATAAAGAAGCACTAGAGATATCTGATACGATGGGGTAGAAAAATTTATAATCTGCTTTAGATGACATTCTCAAAAATAAAATTTTAACATCACCATCATCACATTTACCAATGATTCTCCCAACATAGTACACATCTTTTTGTTTTACAGTCCCAAATTTAACGAGCACAAAATCTTCAATTTTTAATTCACTCCTGTCAAAATTCTGCTGTGGTTCTTCTAATATTTTATCATCAGAATTTTTGCCATTTTCATCAGTTGTCTTCTCATTCTTCTCATTTTCAAAAATTAGTTTTCTTTTCGTAGATTTAGTACGTTCAGCATTAGAGTTGGTAGTTTTCTTTGTTTTTTTTTTAGTGATCTGTTTTTCTGCCAGAAGAAGCTTTTCTGGGGTATCAGTTATTATTCTGCTTTTCCCCTTTTCTCTTGGTTTCTTGCAGCTAGTAATGAGTTTCGATTTTGGATATCCTCGTATCTCCTCAGGATTTATATAACAGCCACGCTGTTGAGACGGTATAGGCATAGAGTTTTGGCAGCTTGATGTTATTGGAGTGTATATTGATTGCTGAAAGCTTTCTTTCTAGACTTGCAGCTAGTTGGCATTTTAGAGGTTTCATGTATCCCACATCCAGTGGTTGCATCATGTGGGCACAATGGGGTAGAACTGTTAGAATGTGCACGCCATTAGCTTTTGCTAGTTATATTGCCTCAATTGACAAGTGGCTCTCATGATTATCGCAAATTAGAAGCATTCTTCCCTTTTCAGAGGAACCTGAACATTTTGTAAAGTGCTGCATCACATGAGCAAAATTGGAAGTGGTCATCCAACCTGACTGATGAGCCAAACCCAAGGTATTGAATTTCCAGCTGCATTTATAAACAAAGCTGTAGCAACCAGAGTTCCTCTCTCACCACTTACATCAGCTTCTACTTGTTTTTGGCCTTTTTGTTAAATCACACGAGACGAGAAGTATCTTGTTGGTTCCAGTTTTTGTTTCATCCATATTTCAAATACTGGATGAGTCACAGAGTTCTGGGTATCTTTTGATTTCTGAATTTTTCATAAATATTAAAAAAAGCATTCGCATTATGTTTGTTAAAGGAAATTGCACGTGCAATATTGCATCCTTCAGCAGCACGAGGAGGTAATCTTGGGTGGCGTTTCATAAAACCGTATAGCCAGTCCTTTCCATCCGTTCTTGGAACTTCCCAGTTTTTAGGACAGTCAATTTTTCGAGTTTCTAGATTGTTAAGACCATAAAACATTTTTAAATACTTAATTAAATATGCCTCAAGGTTGTCTTCCTGTTTGTCTGTAAAAACCTTTCTAGTATCGTTTCTTAATTTCATGTCATGTTCGCTATCTGGATTATCCCTAAACTTCTTAACGTACATACCAACAGTTTACTATTTTAGTCTAAATCTTTTAGCAGCATTTCTTATCGATTCACCATCTTGGATGGCCACTACACATTCTTTCATAGATTCGGCATCGAAATTTCCTGTCTTACATTTCTTTCTATTTCCTACCATCTTCAGACAATCTGCAACAGAGAGAAACCCTTTTTAAATAGCTAATAATAAATATATATAACTAAATAATTAAATATATATATATATATATATATATATATATATATTATATATATATATATATATAACTTTTAAGCACGTTATTTCAAAAAAGGTGTTTCTATTTTCCATTGCGTTTGTCTGATAGTGCCCCATACCGTTTTGTCTGAAGGTCCTCACTCGATGTATCCAGACTCAATGTAGAAATATTACCTAAGAGTATCATCAGTAACCAATGTTAATAGTACAGGTTATACAGCAATAAATGGACTTAAAACTGGTAGCAATGCAATGCAAAAAAACTCATCTTACCTTCAATCCAAAAATTTAACTTTTAACCACCAAAAACTAACTTTTTACTTTATGACATGAACCCTTTACTGCACTGTTCTACAGACTGAACTACAATTCGCTCCGAGGGTTAACAAAGTGTCAAAGCAAAATCGACTGACCTGCTCGTGGTGGCGATAACTTGAAATTTTATCAGGACGCTTTTGTGCATGGTAGAACATATTCATTGTACCATGGATGTTGATCATTGGTTGATCATGTTTATATAACCTCACTTTCGTATATTATGTTAATAAATCTTTATTAACGACAAAAAATATTTTTGTTGAACTATAAATGTCACTATAAATAGATAACTAATTAATTCTAAAAATTGTATCCGGATATTAACACTATAAAATAAAATATTTAAGTTTAACAAAATAATCCCATAAGACTCAATACTAAAACGTCCTCACAAATCTGACATCGTGTCTCGTGACTGTAAATAGAGGGGAGACCCACGGAGCGAATAGTGTGAGTAGTAATGGAATGTTTTGATGTCAGTGTTGCCAACCCGAATCCTTAAATTTACCCACAATATCAATGTCTGAAGCTGCCTTATCGAGCAAAAAGACAAAAGAGGGAATCTAATCGTTATGAAACGGAGACCAAAAAAGTGGCCTCTGATGGCGGACATATACGGAAATGCAAATGCGCCAAATTTAAATTTTCCGACACTTATTAATAGTAGCTATAAAATAGTTTTCAGAATGTGTCTTAGACGAGACAATTTTAATTAAATATTAACGATAATAGTCTAAAATGTGAAACAATTGTTAAAAAACTTCAATATAAATAAGATTTCATGTGACAGTTGGGACAAATAATAACATAACCCAACTAAATTTGATTTCTTAAACAAGGAAAGACTCTCTTTCCTTGTTTAATTTGGCCTCTCAAAATGGCACTTCCTGTCCTACAATATTTTTGCCCTCACTACCTTTACATTCCCTCTTTTGTCTTTTTGCTCGATGAGCTGCCCCCTGTCTGAAGGAACACTCTTTCCCCTACTTTAGCATCGTGAACAATCTTTTAATAATAAATACTTTCAGCTATCTATTCCCAAATTTTTATTCTTAATAAATTTTTTTGGGTTTTGGCATAATTTAGTACTCATTGATCGGGCTATTAGTGGCTCTTTGTAATTAAAATTTTTTGGAATTTTTTATTATAAGCCGATCGTTGGCTAAATGTATTGGTTTATTTGTGTATTTTGATTGATTTGTATAGCTTATTCGTATCCGTATTGCTGATTTTTAGGAAACACCCATCCAAATGATTACAATAGCTAAACCTGCACCATACATTCTCAAACCTTATGCAGGACTATACAACCCGTTTCCATCAAACTGTTCCCTTCTTTGCAATCACCCAACAGATATAGAAGCTAAAGAATTATTAAACGATGCCAAAGAGTATGGGGTGAGTACAAATTTTCTATTATTATCGAAGAATATAACAAATCAGCATTAACATGTTAAGAAAACAGCTATAAATAGTGGAAATGATATTTTAGGCTGCTGACAATAAAAATATATTTAGTGAAAACGGCAATTTGGATGTCGAATTAAATATTGGAGGTGAGCAGCTAACACCTACCAATATTTATATCCCCCAAGTGGAAAGTGTTCCAGAGGAATTATTTCGAAGGTAATACATATCAATATTTTTAGTTTATTTGTTTTTTTATGATAATTTTTATATTAAATGAGAGCATAATATAAAATATTTTAATTCAAAGGTATTTGATCCAGCAAGCTAAAAGAATACAAAAAATCTGTAATTTTTGTATTTTCACCACAGGATAATCATGACAAATCATCAGCATTATTAATTGCTATTAATTAAAAGATGTCCCTTCTGACCACGTACTATTAGTGGCCGTCATAAAGATCGCTCTTTCATGCAAGAACAAGCCTGAAACTCAACAACAGATAGCACTGGATAAACTGAAAGACCCAGTGATACAAGCAAAAATAAGCAATGAAATAAACGCACAAATTCAAATATTAACGACAAACATTACCGAAGATATAACACCAACATGAAATACGATTACAAGTGCTGTAACAGACATCATGAAAAACAACTTAGGGTACAAACGAAATAACAAGAGGCAAAAATGGATGACAGAAGAAATACTATTACTAATGGAAGAACGACGAAGACACAAGAATAACCAAGATGGCAGCAATATGTATGAAAACATCAACAGGCAAATAAAAGCAAAAATAAGAATAGCAAAAAATGAATGGCTTAAGCAACAATGTATCGATCTAGAACATTTACAAAGACAGAAACAGAAGAGACAGAGACAGAATATACAGAAAACGAAGACCAACTACCATAGTTAATCAGGATAACCAGATAGTGCTGGGTGAAAAGGAGAAAATTGATATATGGGAAAATTATATCTAGGAGCTCTTCCATGACGAAAGACCCATGAGTGAAGTTTATACAGACGACCAGCTGACTGGCCCTTCAATCACCAAAGAGGAGATAGAAAAAGCAATATTAAATTCAAAAAACAATAAGGCACCTGGACCAGATGAGATCCCGTCAGAAATACTCAAATTACTAGATGAAAGGGGAATTTCAGCACTACACAAAATATTTAATTTAATTTATGAAACTGGCTGCTATCCTCAACAGTGGTTACGCTCTACCTTTATTCCCCTGCCCAAGAAAGCCAATGCAAAAAGATGTGAGGATCACAGACTCATTAGCCTGATGAGTCACACTTTAAAGATATTCTTAAAAATACTACATCAAAGATTATACAAAAAATGTGAATGGGACATCAGTGACTCCCAGTTCGGGTTTAGGCAAGGTTTAGGAACACGAGAAGCAATAGTAGCAACACAGGTACTGGTCCAAAATTGTTACGATCAGAGGAAGGATGTGTTCCTATGCTTTTTAGATTACCAAAAAGCGTTTGATCGTGTCCAACACCACAAGTTAATGCAGATTCTCAAGAAAGTTGATATAGACCAAAAAGACATAAGATGCATTGAAAACTTGTACTGACATCAAACGGCACAGCTAAAAATAGACAATTCTATATCCAAGCCCATACATATAAGAAGAGGCGTTCGACAGGGATGTGTGCTTTCCCCTCTTTTATTTAACATTTATTCGGAAGCCATATTTCAAGAGTCTTTTGAGGATGCAGAGATGGGAATCAAGGTGAATGGAGTATTGATCAACAACATACGATATGCTGATGAAATTCATGATCATCTCCAGAAACTTGGATGCACTTGAAAACTCCACCATAACACTGAATAGTAAATCCATAGAAAGAGTGAGTAAATTTAAATACCTGGGATCGTGGCTTTTTGAAGACTGGGCATCGGACAGGGAAGTAAAATGTCGCATTGAGCAAGCTCGACAAGCTTTCGTAAAATTCAAGAAGGTACTGACTTGTTCTGAGTTCGATCTTCAACTGAGACTAAGGTTTACTAAGTGCTACGTATGATCAGTGCTGCTATATGGCGTAGAGGGCTGGACACTCAAAACGAGGGATATAAACAGATTGGAAGCTTTCGAAATGTGGCTTTATCGCCGTATCCTAAAAAATACCATGGACAGCGAAAATCACAAATATAGATGTCCTTAAAAAAATAAACCAAGAACGCCAACTTTTCGAAACCATCAAGAAAAGGAAAACGGCATATCTAGGTCACATCATGCGAAATGAAAAATACCAGTTCCTCCAACTTATAATCGAGGGTAAAATTGAAGGCAAGAGAGGAATGGGACGCAAGAAAATGTCCTGGCTCCGAAACATAAGGCAATAGACAGGGATTAACGACATACAATCTCTGATACATATTGCAAGAAATAGAGAATTAATGGAAAATGTGATCGCTAACATCCATTAGTGGATTTGCATCTGAAGAAGAAGAAGATTAATTGCTGCCCCTTTTATACTGCTTATCGTATTGATAACCCGACAGAGTAATGGCCTATCTCGTGATTCTTGCTTCACACATAAGTTTATACCAATATGACAAAATAAATTTAAGCTAGTAGCAACGCCCCCTCTTGTCGAACTGCAAAACTTATTGAACTATTATTTTTGCTTCCGACAGATATACAGAAACTGATTCAAGACCCCAAACACCAGCCCCTACACTAATAAGTGGGATTACAAGATTAACCACTTCCAGAAGATGCATTACACCGGATCCCCTACCAAGCCGACAAGTAAAAGAAAAAACTCAGCTGGTATTAGATTTGAGAAGAAGCCATAGTCAGGTATGGAGTGGTGGAATTTTGATTTTTTAATCTTTATGATTTTTGTGTTTTAGGAAAATTTGTCTATTTATGGAAGCTCGCCATTTTATCAAGATCCTCCTCTGATTCGTATTCAACAAGTACTTAGCAGATCAGCTAGTCTAGACGACGAAAAACATGTCGAATCGCAGAAATTAACGGCACTATCGCATAAATACTCTACCTCAAAAAGACCGGGAAGTGTGAGAAAAGTGGAAAAGGACAAAGGAGATAAATCAGAACATGTAAGAACGTTTGTATTCATGCTGTAGTTTGCTCTGCCATTATTGTCTGTTCTTTGCATTATTTCCATGATACTAAGACTAAGGGTCGGTTTCACCAACGACAAATAGCAGTCTATTCAATGAATAAAATTATTCGACAAATAAAACTGACATATCTGCGTTTCACCAACGTCAAATAAGACTTATTCTATGAATAAACTCCAAATAAGTTATTAGTCCAAGATCTTTAGCTCCTACCATGATACTATGATAAGAAGATAAGATATTGCGCATAAGTCGTGATGTCATTGGAGAGTTTGACGTTCGAAATGTCAGTTTTTTGTATGTATCAATAAATAATCTTTAATAAATAGTTTGGAGATATCTTTATGTGTACGATTATTGTAATTATTAAACCTCTTAACTTATTTTCATCTAGTAATTTCATCACAGAATGCATACAAATCCCATTTAACTTTAACAAGAATTCAAATTCTACTCTCCAATGACGGCATGCGCGAACACGACCTATTTTGTGCTATGGGAAGATCCTATCTTGTTATTATAGTATCATGCATTATTTCTGCAGTTTTTCTTTTACGTATAACCCATAGAGAAATAAAATTAAGTTCTCTATAGTATAACCCAAGTAGACTAAGCCTAAGCTAGTACAAGCAATATAGGGGAGAGGCTTCTACCTTGGGCACGATTTTTTTAAACAGGTATTACAAATACAATATTGAAGTTATATTTTTAAAATTTATACTGGGACAGGTATAAATTATTGTAGTATGTAAAATAAAAACAACTGATTACATGAGTTGGTAAGGAAAAAGTTCCTGAATTCCTACAATTTGCCCAAGGTACAATACGTATTATACCTTGGGCCACTGGTAAACATAATTACCAAAACTTTTATTTTAATAATTAACAGACACATTTAAAGTTACATAGGAACAAAATCCTTTTAATATTTGTTTTATTAAGTATTGTTTAGAATAAGGACCATTTTAAGCAAAATGAGTTACCAATAATATAAATCAATGATTTCTTATTATTAAACATAAGAACAAACAATTTAAATAACGTAAACTTTACTCAACCAAATACTTTTCAAAATCCAAGTTAAAAGTATAAATCTCCTGTAGACGTTTTGAGGATCTATCTTTCTTGAGAACTTCCACGACGATTTAAATGATGTCTTCGTTTTCAATTTCATATGCCTTTATATCAATCAGGCAGAAGTTTTCAGATAAGCGGATTCTCTTCAGGTGATTAACCATTATTGTTGGAGTTAAAGATACTATTTTAGCAACATAAAATTGTACGATCCTCTTTTCAATAAGCTTTGTTAGGTAGAATCTACCAGTTTCCAGTGTAAACCCTTTTCGTGTGTCTGGTTTGTTATTTTTAGACATATGTCATTCCCAATCTATGTCTGACTCATGCCCAGAAGACGGATCTGAACTATCATCGTAAGGGATGCTTTCGACGTCGTTGTTGTCAGAAGATGATGAATTCTTGAGATACTTCGATTGAGGAAATACTGATTTAGTCTTTTTAATTGATGGTGCTGTTAAATGATGTTTTCTCGGTTGGGTGTCCATAACTTTACTTTTAACAGTTGTTTTCTTCATATTTTTGTTCATTGTTTCGTCGGCTCGTTTTCTATTTCATTTTTCTCAGGTGTATCAGTTAAAACTTGACACTTTCCCCTTTTATGACCTTTTTGTATGTTTGTTCTTGGAGATGCCGAAGGTAAAGGGCGGGCTACCTCTGGTGACTTGTAGCTCAGGTTCTTCAGTCTCAGCAGTTATTTTATGATTATTAATAGGGTGTCCGAAATAAATGTCTTCATTGATATTAGCAGTGACCGAAGAACTATAGAACTCGTGTTCTTGAAATACATTTTAATTCACTGGCCAGATCTCTGAAACTCTGAATCCAGATTCAATATTTGTGCGATTTAATTCTAGTTTATATGCCTGACCAGAAATTTCAGCGACATTGTAAATATATATTGGTTTTCCTGGGTTTTTTATCATTCCCTCGGTGCACGCGTTGTTATAATAAGTTTTATATGGGCCAAAAACACTGCGATCGAGGGGTTGGAGCTTATGGTTCGTATGAGGTGGAATAGACAATATTAAGATCAAATGTTCTTTAGCTAAGTTGATGATTTCAGGAGTAATATGACTTTCATGATTGTCTAATACTACTAATATTTTATCATTGTTGGAAGGCTTTGTTATATGTATAAAATGCCTTAAATATTTCAAGAATATGACTCCATGGGACCAACCACTAAGATCTGCCGTTCCCACCGAATCAGCAGGTGCACCTTTCAGCATATAGGGCTTAAAATTTACTCTGGGAAATATGTACATAGGGGGGACAGCATTCCCTGAAGCACTTATAGCAGCGATAAATGTTACATTAGTACCCCTTTCTCCACTTGTAGCAGAACCAACTTGTTTAATACCCTTGCAAGTTACAATTTTTCCAGGAGGAACGTAAACATTAGTGTTACCACTCTCATCAATATTGTATATTTTACTGGGTGTGAAAGTATGCTTATCCATGGCTTCTTTTAATTTTGAAAAAAATAATGAGACATTGTGTTTGTTGAAGCTGGTTCCGCGAGATAGGCTAGTGGCTTGTAGCTTTCTTAAACTAAGTTGCTTATGGCGACTCATAAGGTCAAGGAACCACTGTATTCCGGCATAATAATTAATATTCCAGAACTGTGGGACTGGTTTATTGTTGGCTTTAGCGTATTCAAATGCTAAAGTTTGTAAAGAGCGACGTGAAAGTCCATAATGCATATGACTCACTTGAGTTAAATACTGACATAAGTCGTTCTCCTCATCAGTGCAAAATACTTAATAAGTGCAAGCACCATAAGAGAGGAAATTGTTGGGACCACGGACCAAAAATCTTTAAAGTGTCGTCCGTGACACATGGAATTCCTTTGCAGCTAATCGGACCGATATGTTTTTCTTAAATTGTATTATATGCTTTTAATAGGTTTTCATGATCTGTCGGAGCTCTTTTTACGCCGGTTTTGCTTCTAGGCATCTGTAAAGAAAAAATAACTGTTTTTATCTCTTTTTATTTATCCTCCTACAAGAGATTGTACCTTGGGCCGCGGCCCAACGTACAAGACGTGATAGTGGTCCAAGGTACAGGACTAGGCTAAAAAGAAAACAACCTAACCTAATTTAACCTAAAAAAACTGTTTTGTTATATTTCTCACTACGTTACCTGTTCGAATAAGCATATACACCCTGTGATTTAATTTACCATATCTGTTAACACAAAAATTAAAAAAAGAAAATTAGCGGAAGTGTGCCTATGTTGGATTCCTGCCTATGACGGACCCCCGGCTGTAATTTTAAATAGCGAGCGGTTACATACACATCGCCGGTTGCCGCTTGCGCACGAAGTTTGTAGTTTAGTATTTGCAAAGTTTCAGACACGTGGCTGTTATAACAGTAAATTTGTGAAATAAAATTAAAATTTGGCGTTGCTGATCTAATAAATTTTTTTGGTAAGTAGCATTTTACTGGTAACATACGTTAAGCTAAGTGTTGCTTTTGTTTTGTATAAAATGACTACACTTTCTTTGTCAAATACTATACTTTGTTTTAGGTTAAAATGGTCAAAACAAAAGTAACAGAATTAAATTTGCTGCCTTGTCTATTTGCCTATGATGGACCCCTGTGTCGTTACCTATGACGGACTAGGGGTGCATCATAGGAAAAAGAAAATAAAATTGGACACACCTTCAGTTTTTGTTACTTAATGATTAACATAATATGTTTTACAGGGATGGCTCTACAAAAAAGGCAACAGTGGAACGAGAGTAATATGCAACAAGCTTTAAAAAGCATACAAGAAAAAACTATGGGGTTTAAGCTGGCAGCAAAAACATTTAACGTTCCAAAAACGACTTTGAAAAGGCGCTTTATTAAGCATCAAGGAAGTATCAAAGGTGATTTGGGAGGACGAAGACCAATATTCTCCACTACTATTGAACAGGAAGTTGCTGACCATATTACTACTATGGAAACTCGTTTTTTTGGCCTGACTAGTAAAGATTTGCGAAAACTTGTATACGAAGTAGCTGAAAGAAACAATATTAGCCACAATTTTAATAAGGAAACCAGGATGGCAGGCTGGAAATGGGTCAGAGGCTTTTTAAAGCGAAATCCTCGAATATAATTACGCACTCCAGAAAATACTTCGTTGGCAAGGGCTCAAGCTTTTAATAAACCAAATATATGTGCCTATTTTACTGCATTAGCAAATATATTAGACGAGTTTCACTTTCCACCGGAAAACATTTATAATATGGACGAGTCCGGTTTGACAACTGTGCAAAAGAAATCGACGAAAATTTATGCTAGTAAAGGTCGCAAACAAGTTGGTGCTTTAAGTAGTGCAGAGCGCGGTCTACATGTTACGGTCGTATGTGCAATGAATGCAATTGGAACATATGTTCCCCCTGCTTTGATTTTTCCTCGACAGAGAAAGAAAGATGAACTTATGAGCGATGCTCCTACTAGAAGTATAGCCTTCTCTCAAGAAAAAGGATGGATGACTTCCGATATTTTCTATTTGTGGCTGCAACATTTTTTAAGGTATACAAAGGCTTCTAAAACCAACAAAGTTTTGTTGTTACTCGATGGCCATTGTAGTCACAAAAGTTTTGAAGCTCTCCAGTTTGCAAAGGAAAACGGTATTATTATGTTTTGTTTCCTGCTCACTGTTCTCATCACGTTCAACCCTTGGACGTAGGATTTTTTTAGACCACTTCAAATTTACTACGGCCAAGAAATTCAATTATGGCTGCGACAGAATCCAGGTAAAACGGTGACCCAATTTAAAGTAACCAGTCTCTTTAATAGAGCGTATTTAGAAAGTGCTTCACCATCAAATGCAATCAATGCATTTAAAAAGACAGGAATACAACCATTCAATCCAGATGTCTTCGAGGATTGGCAATTTTTGCCGTCTATAACGACAGATAGAGAAAATTCTGAACAAAACCCACTGCCATAATGTTCTGACCAGAAGTCACCACCGGAACATTGGAGCCAAAATGTTTCTTCGATTGAAAGTTTATCAAAAAGCCCCACTGATCAGAAATCAACATCATCGTCAGTTCTAAACATCTCGGTAGAAGATATTTGTCCTCCTCCTTTAGCTGAAGTATTTCAAGTAATGCAGAAAAGGGGTAGAAAACGGGGTAAAACAGGATATTTAAATTCAACACCAGAAATTGAAGATATAAAACAAAAAATTGCAGACAAAGAAGCAAAAAAAAAGGAAACAAGACGCCAGAAAAGTGAAAACGCAAGTTCGTGTTTCAACTGCAATTGGTTCTGAAGACGATTGTGAATGTTCTTTTGTAGAAGGCCACTCGGACGATGCAGCTTGCATCTACTGTAACGAACTATTTTCGCATTCACGATCCAATGAAAAATGGATTCGCAGTCAAGTGTGTAAGAATTGGTGTCACACTGAATGTGCAGATGTAAATCCTCGACATAAACAATTTGTGTGTGATGTGAATTGTGCGCGTAATTTTTTTATTTTTAAAAATACCATGTGTAATATTTTTTATCGTTTGTAATGTCTTTTGATCTAATAAAATAATTTGGTATTTAATTATTTTACACAAAATGCAACGAGTCCATCATGGGCGTATCAAAGGGTCCATCATGAGCGCATATATGCCCATGATGGACCCTTAACAGGATTTTAGTAAATTATGAATAAATTTTGAACATCACTTTTTCTGCAAAATTTGAAACATTTGCCATATTGTACAAATAACGAGACGTTATGTGGTCATATTTAAAGTCTGCTAAGTAAATAATTAAAATTATTATGAAGCTATTTTCTTAAGGGGACTATCATAGGCACATTTCCCCTATCTATCCTATAAATACTTACTTTTCACAAAATAATTCATTATATTTTTAAGACAGCCGCAAATTATTTCTGGTGACGTTCAATAACTAACCACAGAATAACGACGATTGTAGAAGAGCTTGATATAAGAAACAGAGAGAGTTCGGGCGCCAAATTAAAAAAAATGGGGTGGCTCATGGTACAAGCTGGCCCAAGATACAAGGCTCTCCCCTATAGTTGTACTATTCCGCATTTTATAGTTCCAAAATCCAGCAAATTAATGCTTTTAGTTACCGAATTGATTTTATATATTTTAGGTCAGCAACCCACAAAATGATCCTTCAGACAATAATGATCAAGAAGAAGAAGACAGTGAAGAATTTATTAAACGAAGAGGTAAACGACGAAGAAAGAAAGGAAGAGATGCATCGAGAGGTCCACCCACTTTTCAAGCTTCCTTAGATCCAGAAACGCAGGTAAAAATTAAGAGTTAAAATTGTTTGTTCAAAATAGTCAAAAAATAAGTATTCGCTGACTTCCATATCTCTGTATCACTGTTATAGGTTGCTACTATTGGTCCCGACTCCCACAATCCAAGCGCAAGACATTCTTTAGCCCCAGAGGGAGCGTCTTCACAAGACGTTCCATGCGAGGAGATTAAGCGAAGCAAAACACCAGTAAAATTTTCAACAAGTTTGGATATCAAGTCTTTCCTAAGTACCGAAATATTGAAACAATTACGAAGAGAACTCAATGAAACCATCGTTGATACTGAACTAGATAATAAGGTAAGGTAAAATGTTTTTCTGTGCCTAGTCTCTTACGCATCAATTCGTGATTAACTGTAGTAGGGGAACCTGGCCTAAAATGACATACTACATTTTTGTTGTCAAATAACTTTTTTATTTTTTTAATAAAAATTTAAAAAAACATAAATGTTGTTCATTGTTTGGAAGTAGAACAGATCATGGAACATAAAACTCTGACAACACAATATTTTTTAATTAAAAAAAGGAAACAAAATAAACGTTGCTATGTCATTTTATCCAAGTATATTCGGCTAAAACGACACACTCACATGGATAAAATGTCATATAAACTAAATTAGCAAAGTTCCCAAATAAATTTTTTGCACTATGTTGAGATACCAGCACAATCACAGTGTGCCCATTTTGAACATTTTTGGCACCTAATCCAGAATTCTTTGGACCTTGAATGGGAGTACAAACTGTTACAATATAAACATGGAGGATTATTTTCGTCTTCGTCATCATCTGACACAATGGTCTTTGTTTCCTCCTCGCGATCTTGTGTCATTAAGTCAGATTCTTAATTGCTCGCTTTGCAGCTTGACGTTTTTCTGTAGCTCGCTTCTCGAGTGCTTTGGCTTTTTGTTCTTTCATATTTGGGGTAGCCATTAGAACTTTTTTTTTTCCTTCTGATTTTCTTTTGTGGAGCGTGACTGGACACCTGAACACGATGGAAGAGGTGAAATGTCAAGTGGACGAATACCAGGATTAATTGAAGAACAACTTTCAAGTGAGTTTGGTCTAGGTGTAGAAACCGGTTTGTTTCCTTGATCTGGAAAATCTTGATGTCGCAAAACATTAACATTCTCTTCTTTTGACTCTGTTAGGGGTTGAATTGCAACTTCTTCTTGAATATCTGTTATTTTGGAAGGATTAAATAAATAATCAGGGAATATGTCGGAATTAAGGGGCCAAATTCCAGCCTTTAAAAATCCACTAACGGCATTTTGGTGTGTAGCTGCTTTTCCATACGCTGTAGCAAATAATCCTCCAATTTGGTATTGCGAAACTGTTCTGCCTGGATGACACATCATCCACTTGGTAACTTCTTGATCATAGTAGCTCTTTAATGGACCAAAGAAACATACATCTAACGGCTGTAGACGATGGGTACAGTGCGGCGGAAAACACAATATCACTACTCCATGTTCTTTGGCAAAAGTTAAAACATTAATGTTTTTATGGCTCGCATGCCCATCAAGCAACAGCATAACCTTGTCTTCTATAGAAGGATTAGAATATTCTTTAAAATGTTTCATCCATGTTAGGAACACTTCGCCTGTCATCCATCCTGTTTGATGTGCTATTCCTAAAGTTCCTAAAGGCGCTTCATCTATTAATTCTTTTTTCGAATTTTTCCTGGGGAATATAAGTGTTGGTGGAACATAATTCCCCACTGAGCTAATGCAAGCAACCATCGTTATGTGCTGCCCTCTTTCCGCACTTGTAATTAGGCCCACTTGCTTCCGACCCTTGGTTGCAAATATTTTGCCGGGTTTTTGAACCGTGGATAGGCCTGATTCGTCCACATTCCATATGCGTGTAGGATTAATTTTGTTGTTTGTAATAGTATCCTCTAAAAGTTTTAAAAAATTGGCAATTTGCGGCCTGTTGAATGATTGCGCTCTTGCTGCAGACGTGGACTCGGGTTTTCTAAGGGATATATCGGGGTGTCTAGACCGAAACCCTCGTAACCAATCCCAACCAGCCATCTTAGTGGTTGTGTTAAATCGGTGTACTATTCCATTTCGATCTGCTAACTGGTAGGCGAAAGAACGAACGTCATCACAAGATAATCCAAACAAACTTGATTCTAGGATTTTTATGTATGTTACGAGGTCTCTTTCTAATTCTACAGAGAACGTAGTTTCGTACCGGCCAAGACCTTTATTAGTACCTGATACTCGTTTATTCTTGTCTGATTCTCGTCTTCTTAAAGTAGCTTGAGGCACATTAAAAGTTATCGATGCTTTTAATTAGCCCATGTCTCCACACTGGACTGCCTGGATGGCTCTTTGCATTTGTACTGGATCCCAAGACTGGCGTGTACTTTTCCTTTCGTAGTGTCCCACCATACTAAAAACGAAAAATACCATACATTAATATTCTACCTACCATATTATTATTAAAATTTATATGGGCAAAATGACATACTATGTCATTTTACCCGAGTATTTAATATGTCGTTTTACCCAAGTGTGAACAAGAACACGTTTTTTACAATAAATTTTTTGTTTAAACAAACAAAGCTTCTAAACATGATGTTTCTGTTAATATGAATAACAATACATACCTGGAACTAACAGAGATATAAAATTTTAAAGTTTTAAACGTTTTATAGCGAAGTATACGTAGCCTACCAAAATATTTTGGTACTCAATAAAGCACAAACCACCTTTTAACAAGTAAACGACTGAACTGATCGCGACGCCCGTTGGAACATCAATTATGCACCACGTGATGCTCTTGTATAAAACTTCTTAGCGCATAACTATGTTGCCAAGTTAGAGATACACCGGATGTGTCATTTTACCCTAGTATGTCATTTTGGGCCAGGTTCCCCTACATGTTGTAGTATCATTATATTCTCAGAAATTATATACTTTTTTAAATGTTAGTCCACATTTGTTGTTTTTTTAGATGAAAGTAGCTCTAGGGGAAGCACTCAAAACAGTCGTTAAAGGCAAGCCAGTGTGCGAAGAATTAGCTTGCTTACAGAAAGAACTAAAGGTACCGCCAGTAAATTCCGAGCTTTGGATCTCTCTTCCCAGAACATTTTCTAGGTCTAGTGCTATATTCGAACTGCCAATGGATAGTCGGACGTTTAACAGTAAGAATATTTATTATATTTGTATTTTTAAGAGCATAATTTATTATCTCCATTTTAGCACTAACGCCGATTGACTATGTGAAAGATAATATATACATAACTTCACCAAGAAAGCTCTTGTATAACTGCATTTTCGAAAAATACAGAATGGAAAATGATGATGAAACTGAACATGATCGACAATTGCATTGCAAAGTAGGTACATACATTAAGTAAACAGAAGCGTTACTACCTGATTTGACAATGACAAGTGCAATCTTGCCAAAACCACAGAATAATAAACAAACAGAATACCCACTCTCCACGGAAAATTAAGTACGCGCATCTCCTCCGCGCAGACGTTCCGCCATGTTTTAGGAGGATTTTAAAGAAATTAGTGTTGTTTATGTGGTGTGTATGGAAAAATTAACCAGGTTTATTTGACTTACGGCAATCATAGACATACTATACAATTATATTAACATTGTTAAATATAATAACATAAATATAATATAATTAAACATAAATATAAACAATTACATAACCACACAAATCATATGTCTGTGTCCTCCTAAAACATGGCGCGCGTGCTGAAAAACTTCAAAGGCGGCATCTGAGAGTGGCCCTTCTGATTGCTTATTATTCTGTGCCAAAACGTCATCAAAACAATGGTTTTTCTATTTTCGTATTGAATTTTATCCATTATCACAGTTGCATTCCCCTTGTCTGCTGGTAGGATGATTATGGAGTCGTCATTTTTTAAAGTTCTTATAGCCTTTAGTTCCTCTTTGCTTATGTTTTGTTCAATTTTAGTAGATTTTTCCAATTCAAGTTTACATAACACTCTGTATTCTTTTTTTTTTCGTGGGTTGGTAACATCGAGCAATAAGACAAAAGAGGGAATGTAAAGGTAGTGGGGGTAAACATATTGATAGACAGGAAGTGCCATCTTGAGAGGCCACTTTAGACAAGGATAGACAGTCTCTTTCCTTGTTTAAGAAGTCAAATTTAGTTAGGTTATGTTATTGTTTGTCCCAACTGTCACATGAAATTTTATTTATATTGAAATCTTTTACCAATTGTGTCACTTTTTAGACTATTATAGTTAATATTTAATTAAAACTTTCTCGTCTGAAAAATATTTTATAGCTATTGTTAATAAGTGTTGGAAAATTTAAATTTAGCGCCTTTGCATTTCCGGATATGTCCGCCATCAGAGGCCACTTTTTTGGTCTCCTTTTCATAACGATTAGATTCCCTCTTTTATCTTTTTGCTCGATGGTTGGTAAGCATTGAGATATTTTCTCCACTGAGCTTATTATGTCTAATTTTGGAACGGATGGCTGAGTAATAGCAAAGTTTAGACCCTTTGACAGTATTAAACTCTCCGTTGCATTTAAATGTCTATTTGATAGATTGACCTGACTGACAACTGTCGCTAAATAATAAACGGACCTTATACAAAATTAACAAAAGATCCAACAAAGTCTTTTGAAAACAAAATATATAGAACTTTATTCAAGTTTAAACATGTTTTAACAAGTTATCAGAGAGGATTAATTACACCTCATTACAGTAAGACTCCTCATTTTTATGGAGTACCGAAAATTCATAAAATGGTTTTTCTCAAAACCAAAATTATTCAACGCTTGAAAGAAACCACATACAGAAAGCACATACCTTTAGCTCCCTCGGAAATTTCAAGTATCACAACATATATCAAGCTTTTTGCTGAAAGTGTTTTTGCAATCGTTTATTATTAAATGTTATTTCCGTATCTCTACCTCGTCAGTCGCTCGAGCTGATTTAAATTCAAACCTGAAAAGTCAAATTAATGTCTCCAAAATACTTCCCACTTTAAAGCTGGATTTATAGTTTGACGGACTGTAGACGCAGACGCACTGGAAAAAGATCAACATAGACTTTTGTGTACTGCCATTTATAAATGAACGTAAACGCAAGACGGGACGTAAGCGAAACGCACTGTAACGGAAGAGTTGGTCAACTTTCAACTTTTACAGTGCGTTTCTTACGTCTGACCAATCAAAAGAAAGAATGGGTTATGTTCATTGCACCAATATTGAAATATGCCAAAAATTGATCTGGATCTTTTGTCTTCATCTTTAAAAAATAATTATAAGCATTCTCTATTTTTCTATTACGGTTTATTGGTCTTGTTTTATAACGTTTTGGTCGCCTTATTATTGTCCTAGTTTTTTGCAATGCTACTGCACACAGCACAGCAGCAATCCTACAGCGCCAAGGAGCATACCTTCGTATATTTCACAATCCATTCTAACACGCAAAAAGGATAAAAAAAATATTATAATAAACAATAGTATAAACACACACCCTTTGTTTATTATGAATTCTGATTCCTATAATTGTATAATTTATAGGTTATATTGAATATTGTGGGTCACCAATTCTTGTCTTTACTCATGCGCAAAAATTCCACTACGTCCATTTATAAATTGAAAAAATATTTACAGTCCGTTTCTTACGTCTCCAGTGCGTCTACGTCTACAGTACGTCAAACTATAAATCCAGCTTAAGTGGTTCGCGCGCAAAAGTGCCATCTGCTTTGACGGAGAGGTACCAAAATAATTTTGGAACTTGCATGTTTTATCTGGAACCTGTCCGTGTCTTCGTGAATATTACAAGTTAGAAAAGAATATTATTTCGTTATCAGATAGTCCTACAAAAAGTACCTGGAGACTTGTTGCTGACGTGACTAATAATGTTGACAATAATGGAAGGAAAAATATATGCCTAAAATCAGATGCAAATTATGTAATAGGGGAATGTCTTATTGTTGCTAATATGTTCAATGTTTTCTTTAAGAATGCTCCAATTGAGGTACGTTCTAAAATTTCCAGTCATCAAAATAGTACTTTAAGTGAATGAATAAGTCAGTGAATTATTGATAGGAAAATTGAAATCTTCAAAATCGTGTGGATTTGATGAAATATTCCAATTTTTATTAAAAAAAGTAATTCCATTCATACTATCAACTTTAACATTTTTAATAAAGTTGTCTTTTTGCAATGGTATTTTTCCGGATATTCTAAAGGTGGGAAAAGTCGTTCCTGTACATAAGAAAGGTGATCCAAAGGATATTAGTAATTATCGCCCAATAACTATCCCTTCACTGTTTTCGAAAATATTCGAATACTGTTATCTTAACAGATTAAACTCTTATTTATTGGAGAACGGTATTGTTAGTGAATATCAGCATGGCTTTCAGGCAGTTAAGTCTACAAATACAGCAGTTTATTCATTTTATGAGACTTTAACTAACTATATTGATGCGGATGTGTCTTTTGACTGTGTCGATCATACTTTACTCATTAATAAGTTAGAAAATATTGGAATAAAAGATCTCTTATTAAAATGGATAGAATCCTACCTATCAGAACGTCGTCAGTACGTCTCCTTATCAGATGTATCCCAACAATCAGAAAATATTTGCAAATCAGATTACATTTACATTCATATGGGTGTTCCGCAAGGTTCTGTAATTGGCCCAATATTATTTCTTATTTACTTAAATGATATTGTCTCAATAAATTCTGCTGTAAAGTTTACACTTTATGCAGATGATACTTCAATACGTATATCAGATAAATCACATATATCTCTTGAAAATAAATGTAACGAACTCTTGTGTGATCTTAGTTATTGGTTTTCCTCAAATTACTTACATCTTAATGCGGATAAAACGCATGCTATTCATTTCCACAATAGACAGAAACATCTGTTAGATATCGAACTATCAATATATTCTAAACAAATTGAAAAAGTTTAATGCCTAAAATTTTTGGGTTTGTATGTTGATGAATGTCTCAATTGTAAAAGGTAATGTGATGATATTATTTCCAAAATAAACTCAGCATGCTACCTACTTCGAAACCTCAAAGATATACTAAGTGAAAAACAGCTAATTATGCTGTATTATGCTCAGGTGGAGTCTCGTTTACGGTATGGCATAGTATTTTGGGGTACGTCTTGTAAATTCAGTGAAGTCTTTCTATCTCAAAAGAGAATAGTCCGTTGTATTACTGGTATTTCTCGAATAAAAATAAAAATAATAAAAAAATAGATTTCCGAAGTGGAAATTGAAACGTCAATAAACGTACTTTAACCTTTAATTGTGGCTTATTCCCATTTAAATAGTAATTACTTTAAAATGCCACAAGAAAATAGCTTCAGAATAGAATCAATATATAGTGAACATAAGTTGTACTAAACCATTGTTTTGTTTTGTAGCAAATGCGTTCTTGTTTAGATTTAATCATGGGAAAACCTCTAAAAGACCAGCAATTTGATTATTTTAAAGACCTTGTTGGTTGGAACGACGAGGATATATTTGGATTTAAAATTTGCTGTGGGATTTTTGCTCTCTGTGAACGTATTATGGCACCACAAATCTGCAGGCAACTACCAAATAGAAAAGAGGATCCTTGTCACGAGGTAAATATTTTAAAAATATTAAAAAATTTATTATAAATTTTTTTAGTACTAAATCTATGACTGGTCTTTTTCCAGTGACCTATTTATGGTAGTTTGACCATCTGGCATGTGTTGTTTTGTCCGTATATTTCTGCTAATTTTCTAGGTGCTTCATCCACTTTCAGTAGTAGCTGTCAATCAAACCAACATTTTTACTCCACAGCTTCAACGTTTTATTGTATTGATCATTGTCGGTCGAGAAGAAGCAGACAAAAGGGTATTATAAAACGATTCGACCCTTATAACAAAGTTCGAATCTGTCTAGTTGTAATAGTTTTATTCTGCTATTCTTTTGTTGCTATATCATTTGTTTTCTGTAAGAGATCTTCTGGATAGTCTGACCTTTTTATTTCTTCCGATAGTTGATCTGCGTTGTTTTTGAATTCTATTCTTCTTGGTATTTACCAAACTTACCATTACCACCACCACTTACCACCTACTCCATTATCTACCAAAAAATATATTCGCTTCGTCCGAAAATATGGTATACCTACCCTTATTATGAATTTATACATATAAATGTGTATCATATTCTCGGATAGAACTCACATACAAATCACACTGCGTGTTTGTATTTAAATTGTTCAATATATGTTTTGGTGATTTTTAGATCGAAACCGCAGACTTCAATTTGTTGGAGAAGAAACTTGATGGCAGAACCGTAAACAAAAATTTCAAAACAATTTTATATGCAATCAAGAGTTCCTAATTATAATTTCTTGAATAAAACATTTACTGGAAAGCTTCCTGTATTTTAATAAAGGCCCTGGAATAATAAACAAATAAGCTGCATTTTGATGTGGAAGACATATTGACACGCCCTAATATAAATTTGCGTTCTCGGTTTAATAATATTTTGATAGATTGGTTGTCGGAAATATACAATACAAAAATACCTACACATATTTTTTATTAAAAACTTTCTTTAAAAAAGTCCTCTTTTAAGTAAGGTACTGTATATAGTTTTTACAATTTGCTTTGCATCTACAGCTAAATGTTTCTTCTTGTAAATGTTACCGGAACACTAGAAGAAGCCCCATTATTATTATCCCACGGACGCCACATAATGATAGAAAACGTAATGAATAAAATGAGTAATACTACTTAACACTTCCCGTCATACATAAAGACAAACAAATTTTATCAAGAACTCGTATTTAAATACTGGTTGGTGTTCAGTTACCAACACCTACCACTGAGTCGACATGAGCGGCATCACTGCGCGTCGTAAGACCAACACTTCATTTTAACTGTGACTGCTACTATACCAACATGATCTGTTTACATGCCATCAACTGTAACGTGCCGAGACTAGTGCGCCAACATTTTCAACTCATTCTGCCGTCATATTTAGGTCAAATGACGTAAAGACGAAAGATGTATCTAAAAAGATGTCGATCTGACCTCAGATTCTTCATTCTGATAACCTATAGGTTTCAGAATCTATATTAGGAGACCATAAAGGAGCATATATATATATATATATATATATATATATATATATATATATATATATATATATATATATATATATATATAAAGTAATTATCAAACATAAGTAAAACAATTAAAAACAATTTTTTTATTATACAAATCACAGTGATAGACAACAATAAACACGATCAAAACTTTTTTGTAAAACAACATATCAAGAAATAAAACGTTATTAAATACATAAGTAGTTAATCCATATAAATATAAAATGTCCAACAAATTATTAAAGATTATAAAGGCACAAATGTTTCCAAATTTAAATGATTACTGTCTTAGCCCATCAACATCTTCAAGGTAGGTCATAAAATCCCCCATTCGTTTTTAGAAACGAAAGATTAGACTGTACGGGAAGCGAATGAGATTAAAAAGCGCCCAGATTGCCTCAATCGCACGTGGTAACCTTCAACATTAAAACCTCTCTTCAATTACCATAAAGCAGTGTAATTTTCTTTCATCGTACGTTGGAGAGTCACGCAACCATTCACGATACAGAAGTACCATATCGGTAGTGAAATGACGTGTAGCAATGAAGTGATCTATGAGACTGAGACCTCATAGTAGGTACTGAAGAAGATACCGAACGGGAGTCGAACGATAGGCGAAGACAAATTTCATTTCATTTCAAGTCATTTTTCTAAGTACGATCAAAGACATAAGCAAAGAGAGAAGTCCAGTTATGACCCCAGAATTTTGGAGGTAAATCATAGACTACCACACTACACGAAACAATATCTGACTCTAATAAAGTTGGTTCAAAAAACCAAACGTCATAATTTTTATTATATAAGAACTGAACATTTGCGATTATGTCAAAAGTTACAGCATCAACTAGTCAATCTGAAACTTTTTATTGGCATCCAAAACTGCAAATGTGGAATTATGTTTGCAAATGGGGTATAAAAAATGACTTCCACAATCCTACTAATGAACCAATTTAGCACTTCAACTTTTATGATATAAAGTGCAGATGCTGCAAGAGAACATAAAATTATTGTTTGCTTTTATGTGTATGGGTTAATTAAAATAATTTGTATTAAATTTTGGTATAAAATTGTAAATACCAATAAAATCTAACATTTCTTTTAAAGTTTTGAAATATCTACATCGTTGTCAGTAAATTCCAATTCTCTATTTGTAATCGAATACACAGTATATGGTTTTTTAAGAATCTGGTGAATCCCATGGAAACAGTTGACCTTGATACCCCTTTTTTCATATTCCAAATACTTCTTAACGAAGAACTTGTTCAGTTCATGTATGTGGGGATGTTCTAAATACTCCGTCACATCCATCCATTTGGATTCCAGGATTTCTCTATCACATTTTTCTATATCTACTGTAACTGCCTTTAGGTGAACGGTTATGTAGATGTCTGAACATGCAAACATACCCCCATGACCGTGCCTCAGAGTTAACACTGACTCAAACTTAGTTTTTATGTTGGTTTCTTCATAAACTTCACGTATGGCGGCATCAACAATATTTTCACCTAAAACATCAGATAATTCAATGGGAATTTCTTATAAATGGCTAGATTAAACAAAAAATAAACAAAATGATATTAAATTATAGCAAACATTGCAAAATGTGCGAAATATAAATTGCCTACAAGACAAAATTGATTGGAAATTGAAAAAATAATTATTATTATTGCAAAATTGTAAGTGGAGTATGTTATGCCAAATCACACACCCAGAAAAGGGTCTGCCCCGTGGAATCTGGGGGAGGCAAGAATTCGCTTAGTACACACAGAATGCACATCGGAATATATAACATCAGAACGATGAGGACAGAAGATAATCTAGAAGAGTTGCAAGAAGAACTTAGGACCATGAAACGAGACATAGTGAGCTTATGCAACATAAGGCTTAAAGCCGAAGAAACGACTCTACTAAAATCAGGGCACAATTTGTACCAATATAATTCAGGAAATAACCAAGGTATAGGAGGCGTAGGCTTTTTGGTACATAAGAGAATTGAAAACTTGGTAACTAAATTCCAAGCGATTTCTAATAGAGTTATCTATCTGGTAATAAAACTAAATCGTAGATACAGCATTCAAATAATCCACTGTTATGCACTTCTTCTTCTACATTCTTCTGCAGATGATGAAGAGGTAGAACAACTTTATGAAGACATTACAAGAGCCAGAAATTTAGGGAAACATATTACGTAATAATTACGGGAGATTTCAACGCTAAAATAGGAAAGAACGAAAATAACGACAACGAATATATTGGAAATTTTGGACTGGAAGTAGAAATCACAGGGGAGATATGCTGGCAAATTTCTTCAGCAAAGAAAAACTATTCTGCTTAAACACATTCTACAAGAAAAAGATGCAGAGAAAATGGACGTGGCACAGCCCAGACGGCAAAGTAAAAAATGAAATTGAGTATATACTCTCTAACTTCAAAAACATTGCTAAAGATGTTACTGTATTAAATTTTGTCAACACTGGTAGTGATATCATCGATTAGTTAAGGTGCGAATAGAAGTAAATACGAAATTCGATAGAAGAAAATTATTAACACAGGTTAAATTACCAAACATAGAAGCACTTGAAATGAATCAGGAGGAATATCAAAGTGAACTAAAAAAGAGACTAGGACCTCTACCAGTATTCAACACGAAAGATATAAATGAAATAACACAAAAATTAACGAATGACATAACATCAACTGCAAAAAAGATCTTTGATAAAAATAAAAATCTGAGAAAAACGAAATTGAAGCAAACACTACAAGGAAGAAGAAGAACATCGAAAGAATCACCATAGTATAAGGCTATCAACAATAAAGTTAAAAAGAGCATAAAGTCAGACTTGCGAGCCTATCAAACAAAACAAAATTTAACTAAAGGAAAATCAAAGATAACTAAAATCAAAAACCAACAGGGGAATATGGTGACGGAAAAACCTCAAATAATCAAGAAAATACAAACATTCTATGAGAATCTATATACATCTACTATACAGAACCCCGGAACAGACCATAGAACAATTCTAAACGTCGGCTTGGAAACTCTGCCTAAAATAACTTCTTCAGAAATTAGACACGCCTTACAGCAAATGAAAAATAAAAAAGCTGGTGAGGATCGTATAACGTCTAAAATGTTAAAAATGGGCGGCAACGTCGTTGTAGAGGTTGTGGAAGTTTTGTTGAATAAGTTTCTAACAGAAAAAAGTATAGCCAGTCTGTGGGAAAACGCTGAAATAATACTTTTACACAAGAAAGGAGATACTACTAATATTGAAAACTACAGACCTCTAAGTTTGTTGTCATACCTATACAAATTTCTAACAAGAATAATAACGAACCGCATAACACAACAACTTATCAACTGGTTGAACAGCAGACATTTAGAAAAGGGTTTGATACTAACAATCACTTACAATCGTAGCTTATTCGAATGACTTGTAGAGGTTCAGTGCTATTTTCATCTCTGGTGACAGGGGTATAAATAAATTAATTTATGTAAAACAAGAAAGTTTTGCAAACACTACAAAAAATAAAGCCAAAATAAAGGTAAAATACATATAAAACTATTAATAATAATTTACCTGGTTCCACGTAACCTCCTGGCAGTTTGTAATGAGGTAAACTATGAGGATAGTATCTTTCCTTAACTACCAACACTTGGTTTTCATCATTGATAACCACAGCTCCAACACCTATCATAGTATGAGCATAATGTGGAATGTTATTACTTTCTGATTTAGGCAACCAACATACCATCATAACATACTCTTCATGAGCATGATGAAACTTAAAGCCATTCTAAAAATAAGTTAAAACCAATTACTAACATAAAACTGATGCTTTGGTGAAACATAACCACATGAAATACTTTTATTGATTAATAATACAGCAAAATTTATAAACTGCCATATATTTGATTTTGTTACTTAACACCAGATGACTAACATGTGTATAATCTTGGTGTTCACTATGGTTATTTCTTTGTCAGCCACCATTTTCCTAGAATATTTATACAGTGACTATCAGTTATCTGTATAGAATCCACTTTTGTGTTAAAATCTCCAATTATAATTAATCATGTGTCTTCCTGGTATTCTTGATATTTCCTTCCCTAACTCTAAATCAAATTTGTTGATTTCTTCCTCTGAAGACCTGCTAGTCAGGCATATTGAGCTTTAAAAGTTTGATATTAAGCTTGATTGATATGATTCTGCTATTCATACTGTGATAGATGAGTACTTACATACTTTTGTTTTGGAGAAAATTTTCAATATGGCATATATACTTTTTTCCTTTTTTGAGGTTAGTACTATATAAATTTACTTGAAAAAGCTAATCAGATTAAAATATATGTAGTTAACAATCTTACATTATTTTCAAACTATAAAATAATGCAATTTGCCTTTACCTTGGCCAAAATTGGTACCCAATCAGACTGACTAAGGTGGACTTTGAACCAAATTCCTCTGTTTCCATTTTCAGTCCAAGCTTTTAGTGAATCTAAATCAGAAAAGATAACTTTTAAAATAAGATCAATAAAATTATTGTGTTCCTGTAGTTTTTACCTTTAAGTTTTTGTGAAAATTCCTGATCTTCACATTGTTCAGTTTTTGAATCTACAGTAATACCTTTGAATCTATCTACTTTGCCATCAAAAAGTTTGGTTAAATTTGAAGAAGTCATACTGTGGGTAGATAAACTAAAATTAAAATATCCTAAAATGTATTAAACTGAAATCTGGTTAAACTCAATCTCAAAATAGTATCTAATTAGAAGGTATAATAGGGATTTTGTTAGTGTTTAAAATAGGAGATACAAACCATGCAATTTTTTTAATATCTGAACTACGATTTACGTTTTTGCAAAAACTTACGTCCGATAAAAACCCATTTTATTGATTTTCCGAAGTCTTTGATCATGTTTGCTGATTAAATATACCCTATGGAATGAAAATTTTGATCTGCTTACTAGCAAACAAAATGAATTAAATATAAATGACATGTAAATTATAATTCTTTATCATTTTCTAATGAAATAAATTACTATTAATGTTACAGAATAATTGCCTTTATATTTTTAAAATTCATATTAGATAATCAACACCAACCTTAACAATAATAAATTATAACATTATCAAATCAAAACATGTATTTTTGACTTTGAACTCTTACGCACATATGATTTTGACACGGAACAAAGCATGCTAAAGTATACAATTTTAATATTTTAATTTCCATTAATATAGTTCATAAATTGTTATGTAAAAAAAATTTCATAAAATTTCCTTATTTAGGTAATTGTTATATAATCTAATAGTATTTGTGATAACCCCAAAGTTATATACATATTTCTTTATGGTTATATACAAGGTGCATTATATTTTTTAATTAAAATATATTTATAACTGTTATATAACACTGAGAATTCTGCGATTCATGATAAAATTTCAACTCAATTCTCTTTGATTTATTTATTAAAATTGAAAGTATTTAAAATTTGATAATTTGTTGCACAGAACAATTATTTGATCTGCGATTTGAATCAGATCCAGTGATATGTATCAGATCAGAGTACATAGCGTGACATAGCTCTCTAGTAAGGTAAGTCTCATAGGAATATTTGGGAGAGATATTGTTCTGAAGCTATTTTCTTGTGGCATTGTAAATTAATTATTATTTATAACTGGGAATAAGCCACAATTAAAGATAAAAATACGTTTACTGTTAAGTAAATTTACTGTTTGTATTTTGAGAACGATTTTCGAATTGGAAATTGAAACGTCAATAAACGTATTTTTATCTTTAATTGTGGCTTATTCCCAGTTATAAATAATAATTAATTTGGGAGAGAGTTTGCAGCGCTAAATGCGGACGGGCCAAAACTAATTTCATTTGGCGGCAAATTTAAAAAGTAGGTTCTGAATTCAACAATGGAATATTATGCCATTTTAGCAATGTTTATTAGATATAAAAAATTAATGAATACTGTTTTTATCTCCTATTTGTAATATTTAGGATACATAACGCCATTTGCAATTTACAAAACCGTGGATTACAATGTTACCATTACCACTTTTTTTCCGGTGGATAATCAAAATTCTATAGAAATACTTTAAAGTTATACCAAACTGGCAACATCAATTACATCAATGTCATACTCCTCTTGTTATGTCATACCTCCACGCTCCACCTCACCTAACGTAACATGACTAGTAGCGCCGTCGTCATTACGAACGGCTGGACCCCTGCAATTCATCTTACTCACATATTCTATTTCACTTACACCACAATTTTTGGTATATACTGTGAGTACTGTGATTTGAATCATGGAGTTACTGAGTTAGAATATATTATACGTCATTGGTTAGAATCTGGATTCTAACTCGATGCTTGATGCTTTAAATAGAGGCAGACAATTGACAGTGGACAAGTGACAATATAGCGACTCCCCTCCGTTACACTTACAAAGTTCTTCGACCTTCGTTTCCTCTTGTTTTGGATTAAAAAACCCAAATAAAAACACGTAGTGTAGTTTTGTGTGTAAGAGAGACGAGAATTGATGTTTTCCGTCTCTGTGAATGTTTGGAATTTCATGTGGGCTACGACATGAAATTGCTGTGGTAGGGAATGGTGTTGACGTTTAAAGTTCTTACAGCAACAGTGTGGATTATTTATGATTAAACGTCCCAATGGGCGAATTTTTGTGAAATAACAGAACTAACAGGAAATATTTATCAACAATGAAGCTCAGTACTCAGGAAAAACGGGAATTGGATAAATTTACAAAATTTTTGGCTTTAAAATGTACTCAGATCATTGTACAGTCCAGACTTGGAGAAAAAGTAACAACAAACTGCAGATCACAAACCACAAGCACAGATTGGGTAAGAAAACTCTTTAAATTGTTATTGTATTATAATAGTCTTAACTAACATTTTTTTTTATAGTTTAACTTGAACATCAGTGATCTTCCGGAAGTTCTTGCGGAAACGAAAAGAGTTCTGAACGGCGAAATCCTATCCTCAAATTTACCCTTATGTGTCGAAATATCTTTGCGTACCGTGGAGGGTGACCATATGGTACTCGAAAATTGGTGTCTGGGCATGTTGCCCGAACAACAGTGTGATCCTACCACAAGAATAGTGCATACAATCTATAATCGTATGGGGACTCTGCTAAAATCGCTAGTGTCGATAACGCGAGTTGTTCCTGCTTATAAACTGTCTCGAAGGCAAGGGCCTGACTCATTTGTTATATGTTATCGTATATTTTTAGGTAAGTACACTATTTATCATATAATAATTAAGTAATTAAACTATGTGTTGATCTTTTTGTATTTTTATTGCTGTAGTTCTCCAAGTAACAATCTGTATCATGCTCTAATGGGAATGTATAGGCTCTAATGGGAATTACTAAAGACTTAGCCAGAGTTTTCTGTTCCCTCTTAGAATGCTGTCTCCCTAGGGAGGTTGGCAATCATAATGGCTATTTTTATTTTTGAACTTGCTGCTCTAAACAAATCAATCGATCTGCATGGATACCAATCACATAGATTCTTTAACCATGAGTTCTGCCTTCAGCCAACAGATCTTCTTCCTTGAATCTTTCTGTGTATTATGAGTCTCAAAATTTTATATTTTGTTCCCCTCATCACGTGGCCTAGGTATTCCAGTTTTCTGGTTTGTATAGTGGTGATTAGTTATGTTTTATTTCTTTACCAACCCTCTCTAGTACTTCTTTATTTGTAATTCTATCAGTCCATGATATTTTCAATACTCTGCAGTATAATCAGAGTTCGAAAGCCTCGATTCTTTTTAAATTGCATTTTTTTAATCTCCAAGTAGCTACATATAATAATATTGAAAATATATAACAGTGAATCTTACGTTAACTGATCTCCAAATTTAGATTTTTGCAAGTTAGGAGTGGCTTCATTTGTATAAATGCTGATCTGGCAATCTCTAATCGCCTGTTTATTTCTGCAGTGTGATAATTGATTTCATTGATCAAAGTTGCCAAGTACTGATATTTTTCTACTTATTCTATCACATTACTAGTGTACACCTATGTCAATAGGTGATGTATATTTTGTGGTCTTTTTGTAATTAGCATGTACTTCATTTTTTTAGCATTTATAGTAATTCCCATCTCGGCACTATTCAAGATGTTGGATTCAAGCTTTCAATAAGATGTTGTAGATCTTCTATACTCGTTGCTATGATCACAGTGTTGTCTGCATATAGTAAGTTGTTAATTAATTTTCGGTAACGGTAACTCCTGCTTTGATATTATTGAGCGTGTTTTGGAAAATTTGTTCTGAGTGTTGCCCATCAATTTGAACTATGGCACTTTGGTTCCAATGTAATCTTTGCACTATATTTATGATTTTACTGTCAATGCGCTTGTTCGTAAGTATTGATATTAGTTTTTCATGTCATACTTTATCGAAAGCTTTTTCGTAGTCCACTTAACATAAGTGTAAATCAACGTTTACATCCCGACACCGCTAAATCAATATGTTGATGGCAAATAGTCCTTCTCGAGTACCCATTCCATTTTGGAACCCGAACTGTTTCTCAGTAATATCCTCCTCTAGCTTTTTGTATATTCTGTTATGTATTACTTTCAGTAGTACTTTTAAAATATGACTCATAAGGCTCAATGTTCGATAACCAGACCATTCTTGCTGCTTATTTTTTAGGGATGGTTTTAAATGCTGACTTCAGCCACTCTTGTGGTATTATTTCCATATTGTACACTGTGTTGAATAAATCTGCCAGTACTTCTAAGTTATCCTTTTCCACTAGTTTTAACAGTTCTACTGGTATTTCATCTAATCCAGCTACTTTATTGTCTTTAGAGTTTTTGATAGCATATTTGATTTCATCTATCTACATTTCACCTTTTTCATCTTGGAAAAGTTCTCTAACATATTCCTACCATTGTCTTAATTTCTCTTGGTAAATATATTAATTAGTAGTACTCCTTTTTTTGTCTTTTATGTGTCCTTGCTGTCTGTTTCAACCCATTCCAGTCACTTTTCTTATTTTTTTGTGCATATTTCTCATATCACATTTAGTTTCTAGTTCTTCTATCTCTTTCCTTAATTATTCACATTATTTTTTAATTAGTTTTTATTTCTTCGTTTTTTAGCATTCTTACATTAGTTTTCTATTAGACTCAGCATATTATGGTAATCTTATCCACATCCCACATGTATACTATGTTCTTAATGTGTTTAAACCTCATAGTTGAAACCTGAGTCCTTCTGAAATGTATTTATTTATTAATGGATATACCATTTACATTGGAACAAAATATAATATACAAAATTTTACAAAGTAAGCATAATATTGGAAAATAATTAGTAAAGTTTAACAAAAACTAATAATTGTCCTTTATTACAATTTTTCCTTGCTTGGTCTATTAGTAGTTAATGGATTATAGTAAGTTAATATGTAACATGTATCATTTTCATCTTCTATTGTAAGCTTCTATGTGTGTAGGGGCACTATATAACACCAAAGCTAGAGAATATACATTTTTTTGTTTTACTAGGATTTCAAATACATGTGTTAAATATTGGACGTTTCTATTTTAAATGAGTCCTGACAAAACCGAATATATTTTAATCTTCCCACTTGAGAATGAGGGTGAATAGTTACCAGTGCAGTGAAAGAACAGACACATCACACTCTTTGCTGTTCAACACATACAGTTTTAAACTTATCATTTTGTAATATTTAACATCAAATAAAGTTTAGTTTGTTTTGTGAATATAATTACTAAATTAATAGGCCTTCAGTGGCAACATAAACAACATGTTTACATTTTTTTTTAAACAGCAGATGAAAAGAAATGCAACAAATGATGCATTAGGAACTAGATCCTTATGGCTACAGAGGCACAAACTATACTTACTTAATGCTAAAGAATTTACCAAGTTTTTGTATTTTTAACTAAATATTAGTCATCATCTATTCAAATTTCAGAATGGACACATTTAAATTTTTTCATTGTTGTCTGGAAGTTTGTCCCACTTCCTTGTAGATTACTTAATTTTAAATTCATATTTTTTTAATTACCAAAATCTTTCGCCTATGCATATTATTTATGCCGTGCATTAATTGTTCCTCTTTCTTTTTAACTGCCCAAAATTCAGTTCTGTACATTATAATTGGTCTTATGACAGTTTTACAGAATTTTCCTTTCATTTTAGTGTTTAGTTCGAACCTTTTATGTCACACAACACACACTTGCTTCCTTTCGCTCCATCAAATCCAATGTGTGCATCTCCAACTGTTTCCCCATTTCTCTGTAATAAGAATTTTAGGTTCTTAAGACTACTTTTTACAATCATTTCACCATTCAAAGTTATCATTTTATTTGTAGTAATGCCATCTTTAAATGAACATTCTGGGCACTCTTTTGATCATCCTACTATGTTTTAAACCTTTTTCTTCAAGAGCTGTCCCCACTGTTCCAGTTTTTGTTCTAAATCTTAGCTGTTGTCTTAAAAGAAAATGGGAAATTGGTCAAAATATGTGAACAAGAAATAACATGTGTGTTAATTCTTTATAAGTAAGTAAAGAAATTAGATTGCTGTTAACTTGAAGTCAAAACATTAAATAATGTATTTCCAATCTATTAATTTCAAGAATATATTCAATATATAAAGTGAGGTAGTTGGAATAAGTTTTTTCTTAAAGTTGTAGTAATTTTTCTACAAAATGAAAAAACTTGCAATTGCTGTTTTTCTGGTTTATAAATCATGGTCTGGAATTATCTCTTCATGTCATGTTTTTTCTATATTTTATGACCACTTCAAAGGGTGTTTTGAAGTTGAATTTGACTGGTATGGCATCTGTCAGCCTGTCCTTAGAATCCAATGGAATTTCTTCAATCAAAAATTTTTGAGTGGCCAACTAGATCTCCAGGTTTCATTATTTGTGTTTGTGACAGTTTTAAGGAGGTGGTTAGTGCCTCCTTCTTTATGCAGAACTGCAAGGGAGGAAGGTTCAGCATCGCCTCTAGAGTGGCAGTGGGGCATGTTGACATTGCTCCTGTGATTCCCTTGGATTTTTGGACCTAGGCTTACTTCCAGATATTTTACTTTTTTGGGATAGTCTAATGTGATGCCATTCATAACTGGAGCCTGTAAATTGTATTTATGTCTCCTTGTGAAAGGTATCACAGTCATTTTGCTGGAGTTGACATAAGCCCTCCTGTGAGCACCAACTTTTAATTTTGTCAAGAGCAGTTTGCATGATATGAGAAATAGTCTAGTCATGTTTGCCCCTAATTGTAAAGAGATACAACTATACTTTAATATGGAAATTATTGACAGCACAGGACAGTATATATAAAACAGGACAGTACTCTTAAATCCTGCATAACTCAGTTACTATAATTGTGAAAGTGATTATGGGAAATATAACGATATTACAAAAATTATGTTATTCCTTGAAGCATATTTAAATATTGGACAAAAATCTTTTGTTTTGATCTCAATTTTGTTTTTGTTAAGTTATATTTATAAATTTGGTGTCAAGTATATCACTTTCTAAAGTAGATTAAATTTAAAAGAATCTATCAATTGTTTTATTTTTTTTTATCTGAAGGTAATTCATTTTTAATCTGATTTCAATCATACAGATTACAAGTATTTGAAGTATATATTTGTAACAACAAATATGTTACCACATTTTATCTCACGTTATGGTACAATGGTGATATAAATTAATTCTTTATTTATGTCAACAGATCTTGTAGGATTAAAAACTTGCAATGCTAAATTATACAATAATTACATAATTCTAAAAACAAAATACAATAATATAAATTACAAAATTATGAGATATTTACTTTTATTTTAAAAAATTTTGTTCAAAGCTTTCTCTGCATTTCTTCATTGCTTATTTCCATTTTTTTTTCTATTCTGTGCATTGATCTTCGAAATGACTTTTTTAGTCTTTTATATGGCAGTATACTTTAAACATGCCAGTAGCTATCACATATTTTAAACATTTTTTATGTTCATAAGTGATTGGGTCTCTTCAAACACTGAAACCTATAATCAAAGAGATCATGTAGTATATAGTGATAAATACTAGGTACAGATAAAACATGAATGATTGTAATAATTTTTGGGAAGCTAATATCTATTCAAAAGATGACCATCTAGTTGCAGAACAACCATTCTTCTATTTCACAAATTTTACAATAAACTGTGCAACATTGCAAGTTTATTCATCTTTCAAAAAAATTACAACTTT